CTGTCGATTCGACTACTTTTCCGTCGAAATCCGGACCCACCCATTTTCGCTAAAAACACAAAATTTGTCCAAAAATGAAAATTTTTAAAATCGCTGGAAATGGTTGGGATTGGCTGGGAGAGTCGCCTTTGACCTCCTCTGTCGAAATTGCTTGCCTCCTGACTCTTTTACATCCTGTTTCTTCGACTAAAACTGCCTCTGGTTTGTTGCAGGAAAATATCGGCCTGGAGTTACCTGTCCTGGACATCAGCCTTGCAGCCCATGGAATCATCAGATTTAAGTTGAGTTGGGGTCACAGTGATAACCGTTGGTCCAGTTATTTATTTTTTTACCCCCCTGTAAATTCACCACCCACATTGTGGAAGGGTCTAGCGGAACCGTTCCGCTCAACGCTGTGGAGTCAGCGGACCCTTTGCATGGGGACTGTACATGCAACGCGTGACCTCACGGTGTTAATGAGGCGGGTTGGACGTGGCCCTAAGCCGTCCGAAAAAACCTCCCCTCCCCCTGCCCTCCTCTCGGCTGCGGCTGCTGTGGAGGTAGTAGTGGGCTGCCGCCGCTGCTGCGGGGGCTGTGGGGGTAGTAGTAGTGGTAAACCTACTGCTGCCACTACGGCCGCTGCATCAGAGACGCCTGTGACGTCACTGCGGTAGTGGTGGCAGTCTGCTACTACATCCACAGTTACCACAGCTTCTAGGGCTTCTAGTAAACTAGGTGTATGAAATCAAGTAAAATGTCAGATGTAGGCATTTTTTATTCTTTATTGTTTCAAATCATTTACATTATAAGAGTAAAGTCTTCCTCAAGTAGCCGGCTTGTTTCTGCTGGTGACTTGGAGCGAATCTGAATACCTGAAAAAGAATGATAAAAATCAAAGTTAAATTCAAATTCTCAGAGTTCAACTCAAACATGTTCTGGACCATATGTATCACTGTGACGCCAGCTCATAGAATGAACTTTCTGTTACAGGTGGTCGGCATCAAGTCCAGGCACATTCCTTTGGACAAGAAGCAGCATCACTTTCTATTTTACTACAACTGTACCATACAAATGAAATAAATAAAATAGCAGCATTACTGTCAGTGATTACAAATGATTTGCCTCCAGTTCCGCACTAAAATTAAAACAAGACTCTATATTTTAGGCTCAACTAATAAGCCATATATATGGAATGAGAATAAGCAGTAAAGAAATGACAAGTAACCCCCAAATAGAAACAATAACAAAATAAACTTTTACCAGACATGACTACCATAAATGTACTGGTATTTTATGTTAACATCACATTGAAAGTCAAAACTTACCAGATTCATTCCTGCGATCATGAGAAAAAGGAGCGATTCCTCCTACTGTATGCTGCGACGCCAACTCAGCATACATCAGGTGACACATAGGCTGCTTTGCTAATGTCAAATTCAGGTCACCTCCAGGCCGATCTTCCTGCAACAAACCAAAGACGCAATTTTATAGTTGAAGAAACAGGATGCAAAAGAGGCAGGAAGCACGCAATTTCGACAGAGGAGGTCAAAGGCGACTCTCCTAGACCAATTCCAATCATTTCCAGCGATTTTTATTTTTTTCATTTTTGGCCAAATTTACAAAGGCTTATAGCCTTCCCATTTTTAGCGAAAATGGGTGGGTCCGGATTTTGCCGGAAAAGTAGACGATTCGACAGGGGTGACCCAGGGGCCAGGGGTCCACAAAACTACTTCTGATTCATTCAGAAACCACCCCTGTCCAGAGAAACTTGAGTTTTAAGGGTGGTCTTTTCAATCTGGCGGGCAGCGTACAATGGGCTGCCTACCTAGCAGCCACGGACTGGGGGTCTAGGGGCCCAGTCTGGAAACTGCTCCGAGGGGCCCCAAAAGATACCTTTTTTGCCGTCAAGGGGCCCCAAAAGATACCTTTTTGCCTTCAAGGGCCCCAAAAGATACCTTTTTCGCCTGGGGCCCGGTCGGGTTTTCCCGACTAGCCCGACCGGGCCAGTCCGTGGCTGCTACCTAGCAGGCGAGCCGGTCCAAGAAAAACAGGCGTAACTCGCTTAAAATGGGTCTGCGACATGAAATTTCGACGAAGAGTTAGTGAGAGGGTGCTGTCAAACCAATCCCAACCATTTCCAGCAATTTTCAAATTTTTCATTTTTGGCCAAATTTACGAAGGCTATAGCCTTCCTATTTTTAGCGAAAATTGATGGGACCGGATTTCGACGGAAAAGTGGTCGAACCGACAGGGGGGAACCAGGGAACCACAAAACTACTTTTGGTTCCGCCAGAAACCCTCGCAGAAACCACCCCTGTCCAGAGAACCTTGCGTTTCAAAAGGAGGTCTTTAGAATCTGGCGGGTAGCGTACGATGGGCTGCCTACCTCGCAGGCGAACTGGTCCAAGAAAAACAGGCGTAACTCACTTGAAATTGACCGGCTGCGCGAAATTTCGACGGACAGATTGAAATGGGCCAATCCCAACCATTTCCATCGACTTTCAATTTTTTTTTTAATTTTGGCAAAATTTACAAACGCAATAAATTGATGGGTCCGGATTTCGTCGGAGGAGTATTCGAATCGACAGGGGTGAACCAGGCACCACAAAACTACTTTGTTTCTGTCAGAAACCACCCCTGTCCACAGAAACTTGAGTATTATAAGAGCTGGTCTCTCTAAATAAGGGCGGGTGGCTAAGAACTCTGCTGTAGTGGGTCGGCACCATGATATTTAGACAGAGCATGTGAAAATGGAGTCCAAACCAATTCCAGCAATTTTCCAAATTGCCAAGATTTTTTGAAGACATTTTCAGTGATAACAAATCAGCCCGGATTTTGACAGGGAAGGATTGAAATCGACAACAAAGAACCAAGGCACCACAAAAAACATCAAATACCACCCTTTGATGCACACAAAAGGAAGCTCCTCATAGTGTCTGTACAGAGACATATTAGACCGCAGCGTTGGCGGTTACTGTCATGTCAACTCACCTATTCTTTTGGGTAAAATGACTCCATAGACTTCTCTTGCTCATGTCAAGAACATTTCTGGGCCGAGTTCCTGCAATCATATTAAACGGTACTTTAAGCGCTCATCAACTATTACTTACATATAATTTACTCATACAATACACTTTTAAATGGCTCTCCCCCCATGCGTCTCTAAATGGCCATGGTCTTTCAAATAACTAATTTTGGCACTGGACTAAGCATTAAGTACGAAGGGGCAGCTGCAAATTATCTGCAATGCACATTGATTGATTGTTTGGGGGATTACGCAAATAGTACCACTCGGTTTGCACCCCAACCAGAAAGTAATAAAGTTTTCTGTTCCACGAGAATAATCGAGTAAAATATGTGATATGTGATAAAACACTGGCAGTTCACCTGCATTTGCATAAGTGACCTACAACAGTATAAGCTATTTCAGAGAAATGGGAAAGAAGAACAGCACGAATAACAAGGAGGCCTGTGATTCGTCGCTCAGTTGGAGGGGGAAACCGGGCGACGAATCGTGGGCCACCTTGTTATTCGTGCTGTTCTTCTTTCCCATTTCTCTGAAATAGCTTATTTAACATACTGCATGGATTGGAGGAGTCTACCCATCCAACACTTTTTCAACAAAGCTGACAGTGAGCCAAATTATTTACATCACCGGCATCATTTACTCGGCCTCAAAAAATAACTTACAACTTAATTGTGCGTGTAAAAATTGAGCCACAGGAGCACACTACTAACCTCCCACAACAATAACCGGAATATGGAACAATTCAATATTCCGGACCGGAAACCATCAAGCACTATACCTATTAATAACGAAAAGCGGCGATGTCCACTCTAAAATTCTGGTTAAATAAATCCTATGATCATTAGATATAACATCAACAATATTACAAAATATGGTGTTATTGAAACATTTGCGAGGATAAAAGATTGTACTTGTACAGGTAATTGTGAGTGTGTGGCAGACTATGTAGCCGTTGTGAAGCCTATAGACTTAGATCCAGCATTTTGTAATGACACTGTGAAAGTTCACCACATCTTTACTGTCATTCCATCTGCCTCACCTCGTGAAATTGTTTATGTGGAGTGTTTGAGCACTGTGGTTTTTAAAATCAATTTTGAAAATAATGTGTATATTGCAGAGCCATTAAACAAATATGAGTTGGAGTAAGAAGTAAATGGAATATTTTGTTAA